CTATGTCAATTATTAAACTGCTGTCTCTATGTCAATTATTAAACTACTGTCTCTATGTCAATTATTAAACTGCTGTCTCTATGTCAATTATTAAACTACTGTCTCTATGTCAATTATTAAACTGCTGTTTTTATGTCAATTATTAAACTGCTGTTTTTATGTCAATTATTAAACTACTGTCTTTATGTCAACTATTAAACTGCTGTCTTTATGTCAATTATTAAACTACTGTTTTTATGTCAATTATTAAACTACTGTCTTTATGTCAATTATTAAACTGCTGTTTTTATGTCAATTATTAAACTGCTGTCTTTATGTCAATTATTAAACTGCTGTTTTTATGTCAATTATTAAACTACTGTCTTTATGTCAACTATTAAACTGCTGTCTTTATGTCAATTATTAAACTGCTGTCTTTATGTCAATTATTAAACTGCTGTTTTTATGTCAATTATTAAACTACTGTTTTTATGTCAATTATTAAACTGCTGTTTTTATGTCAATTATTAAACTACTGTCTTTATGTCAATTATTAAACTACTGTCTTTATGTCAATTATTAAACTGCTGTTTTTATGTCAATTATTAAACTACTGTCTATATGTCAATTATTAAACTACTGTCTTTATGTCAATTATTAAACTACTGTCTTTATGTCAATTATTAAACTACTGTCTTTATGTCAATTATTAAACTACTGTTTTTATGTCAATTATTAAACTACTGTTTTTATGTCAATTATTAAACTGCTGTCTCTATGTCAATTATTAAACTACTGTCTTTATGTCAATTATTAAACTGCTGTCTTTATGTCAATTATTAAACTACTGTCTTTATGTCAATTATTAAACTACTGTCTTTATGTCAATTATTAAACTGCTGTCTATATGTAAATATACTTTTTGTAGTTGCATGTACCTGAAAACTGCAAATAATTAATAGTCTTTGCAATAATTATTACAATTACCTTTTGATTTGCTGGAGTCTAAATGTATGATAACACTTTGGACAGGAACTTGGCCACAGTTGTGTAATGTAATTTCACATTCATGGCTATAAGCAATAAATCATTCCACTTGTTATTAAAATTATTACAACTAGATCAGTATAATATACATATTAAGGTAGAGATGCAGTTTACCTGACAGGTATTTTAATTAGTTAATTGGGCAACCAAGATGACCTCCCTTGTCCACAAAACTATATATTTTCGGAAAGCTTATTGTATGAATTTTAAAATTTTGTTAGTACTTTTTTTTTTATGGACACTGTAGAGGTATGTATCGGGCTCTAAAAACTAACTCTGCGACGAGATTGTGCGACTCGCCGAATGTCGATTATTGCACTCTGTGACAGGATCGCAGTGTCACTCTGCGAAGAGCACGATTCCCATTGGTTGGTTGGTCGAAAAGCGCAAATCTCAATGGTTGATCGATGTAAGGGTACACATCATGCCTTATAGAAATGTTTAGTTTTAAATGGTTATTTCGCCGACTGCTCGTGAACTATGGTAAACAAGTATTTATCGACGACATGCCGCACGGTTTGGTAATCAGCAAGTATTTAAACATTGATTAATTAACATATATAACATCCCCCTGGAGGGGATGAAAGGGGTTACAAAACACATGCACGTTGGTGTTGGCTGCCTTATTACGGTTGAACATCAGGGAGCTGGTAACATTATCGCCATCTTGAAGTTGTAAGGCTTCGTCCGCAACAATGCTCATTAGCATAGGCAGCAGCTTTAAAGCGAGTAGAGCGCGAAATACGTTTCACACGATGTTAGGTTATTTTTTTTAATTAGCAAATATAATCATCACTTTGAATTCCCAAATAAAGCATGTAGTGTGTCAAACTGTTTCTAGGCAATCAATATCGTTTTATTAAGAATATTAAGAGAACAAAAACGTAAAGCTATGTGAATGGATTGAAACTGCTGCTGAAGATAGAAAAATAAAACGGCAGTGTCAACGGAAAATTTGATGGATGCCCGCTCTCTGCATAAACGGAAACGATGGCTTTGTTTATTTGGCCGATGTCGACGAGCAACAGATTTCCTGTACTCACTTCCTCGTCTGATCACCAACCCTCAACAGTCTCACGTATCAGTGTCGTCATCGGTTAACTCTTCCACCTTGATGCGAATATTTCAGCCTAATCGAGGTTGGTCATAATATGACCTAGATGAAATATTCTTGAAAAATAAATATAAACTGCGTAAACGAGGGGTGAACGCGAAAGTCCTGTAATTTTATATCGGAATCACAACAGGCTGTATTGACGATTGCAAACAACTGCTGTCATGGTAAAACGTTGCACATCGTGAATGATTTTTTTTTTTCACTGCATGCAAATTATTTTTCCTGATGCACTCAACAAAGTCAAAGCAGATGTACAATATTCGTTACAGAACGCATGAAAAGTACTTCGCGTTCCACTCGCTTTGAAGCTGCCGCCTATGCTAATGAGCATAGTCATCAGGACGAAGCCTTACAACTCCAAGATGGTGATAACAATACACCGTAAATAGGCAGTCAAAACCAACGTGCACGTTACACTATTTAATTTTCTTAGCCAGCGGTGTGATGTGTCTAATCACAGTAAACCATGTGTCATTTGTTTGGTCCCACAATTTATCTTCCATATGCTTGCTGATCACCGAACAGTGCGGCATGTCGCCGGTACATAGTGTTTACACACTTTTTTTACCTTACCATTTAGAACCTAAATGCAGTGAACATCGACCATTGGGATTCGCGCTGTTCAACCCACCAACCAATAGGAATCGTGCTCTTCACAGAGTGACACTGCGATCCTGTCGCAGAGTGCAATGATCGACATTCTGCGAGTCGCACAATCACGTCGCAGAGTTAGTTTTTAGACCCCCATACATACATGCACTGTAGTTTGAAATATGCACAAAAATGTACTTTTTTGGTCAAAAGTGATTTAAAAAAAATTAGCTTCTAAACTATGCTTCTGTTTCCTGTCAAAATTGATCTACGGGTACATCTGTTCACTATGAAGAGAGTGTCATCTTGAAAAATGTCTACCAGTTGTCAATTTGTCAAAAAGTTAAATATAGTACATAATATGGAGATCCTGTCATTTCTTTTTTTCACCATGTTTCTTTTCGATTATTTATGTACAGCCTTGCTAAATCTTGCTAAGCATTAACAAGCAGCCAGTCGGCTGAGATAGCTCTGCTGTTAGCAATGCACATTTCAATAAAAGAACAGAAGATATCATTAGAAAATGAACAATATGTATAGTATCAAAGCAATGAACAAATCTGAGAGAGGTCCACATTTAGTACCTATATATGTAATATCAAAGCAATTTGACTTACGGTTTTTAACAAGAAGTCGAAAATATCACTTTTTACCAAAAATGACAAAAATATTCACCAAAATTAGAGAATTGAAGATATCATCATGAAATGAACAAATCTGAGAGAGGTCTACCCAAGGTACATATACACCAAGTATCAAAGCATTCAGGGTTGTAGTTTTCAAGAAGAAGTCGAAAAAGTAAAACATTGACACGGACGAAGACGAACCATCACTCGTATGATAAGCTCCACTCGACAAAGTCGACAGCGGAGCTAAAAAGAGACAATGTTTGCACCTGTTATCTATATTTTAAAATTGCCTTTTGAGTATGTTCCACTATTCACAATTCAACAAAATTTTAACAGTCTATAGCCAAGACTGTTTGAATAATAAAAAGCAAAAAAAAAAAAAAAATTCACTCCCAAGTGCCCACAAACCTGCATCCTCTACCTTAATACAAGCTTTCACTTTTGCATTTAAAATTTTCAAAGTCAACAATAAGTAGAATACTTGATTGAACATAATAAATGCTAGGATGAGATATATATCTTCATAATACAACAACTGTGATGAAGAATTCCCTACCTTTGACCTGCAAATAGGTTAACAGTTGCACTTGCTAACATTGCACCACTAGATGCAGGGGTGGCTTTAATGGCAGCAGACTGTGGTAAAGAGGTATGGACTAGTAGCTGTGGTAAAGCCGCAACAACATCAACTTCATAAAATGACTCGCATATTGTTGGAACATCTCGTAACCGACAATGACTACGAACTCCAAGACAGTGAGTAATGTATCCTGATAACATGAAATATACGACAAATAAATCCTGAACAGTATTATAACAATAATATCTAAAGATATTTAGCAATTAATGAGAAAACTCTTAATCTGCTTGCAAGGTCACCCAAAAATAGTGGCAAAATATGTGATGAGAAATTCTTGATTGATTTGAAACAGTAACTACACATGACAATTATAAACAGTCATAGCAGCATGTGTGTTTCCTCAATTGATACGGAACTACCTAAGATGCAACATTTCAGTTGTCATGTTATAGCATTATGATTAGAATGCCACTACAGCACATAGGCTGCAGTCTGCGCATAAGGTAGGCCAAAACTTCACCAGCGTTGATGGAAAGCAAATTGAACTTTTCTTAGCCTTGCGTTGAGTCTGCAATGATTGTTTTTTAATTAGTACTTTCTTTGTTTTATTTTCAACATAGAGATCAGCATTTCTTCAAAATCAAGTTTTTCTTGGTCTCGTGTCAAGTCTATTTTTCAATTTCATTTACAATTTCCTCACAAGTTTTATTTTCAACATTGAAATAAACACATACCAATAATCTTAAGGGTGCCTGTGCCCTTAGGTGAGCCATGAATTGATAAAGGATATGGTCCTGACTCAGCTGGCAAAGCAAAAGATGCTGGGATAGGATCAAACTCCACATCTTCTGTAAGTAGCCCCTAGTGAAATATGAATATATAAATATATTGATCAAAATAAATAATTTCTCCAATCATAAAATTAGCATATTTAATTTACCCCGACACAACATGGTATATTAAGTACCTGACTTTACATTGCATTAATTGAATTAAAACTGCTATAAATTAAACACCTCTGTAAACTAAACACAGTCCCATTGCTATAAATTAAACACCTGTGTAAACTAAACACAGTCCCATTGCTATAAATTAAACACTCCTGTAAACTAAACAGTCCCATTGCTATGAATTAAACACCTGTGTAAACTAAACACAGTCTCATTGCTATAAAATAAACACCTGTGTAAACTAAACACAGTCCCATTGCTATAAATTAAACACTCCTG